TTTTTCTAGACGGGATCTTGCTCTATTGTTGCCCAGGCTGGTCCTGAACTCCTGAACTCAAGTGATCCTCTCCCCTCAGCTTCCCAAGTAGCTGGGACTACAGGCGTCCCACAGCATTTGGCTTAATTGGGATGTACTTGAAGGTGTTCAGAGATGCAAATGATGGAAGGTTTTTTTTTGTTTTTTGTTTTTTGGGGTTTTTTGTTTGTTTGTTTGTTTGTTTGTTTTGTTCTGGGGATTGAGCTTAGGGGCGGGCGGTGTACTTAGGAGAGTTTAACCACTGGGACAAATTCCTAGTTTCTTATTTTGTTTTGTTTTTTGTTTTTCGAGACAAGGTCCTACTAAGTTGCTTAGAGCCTCACTGACTTGCTGAGACTGGCCTCAAAATTGCCAGCCTCCGGTGCTGCCGGGATTACAGGTGTACAACAGGGTCAAGCCATTGGTCGGTGTTTTGAGATAAATATGGAAGCATGGTATAAATGTATGCCATAAATGTTTTGTTTGATAATTAAGCCTCTGAGGAAAAAGAGGCTTCTGAAGAAAAAGAGACTAACAAATAAGTGAGGCTGGCCCAGACTAAGGAAAACCAGGGACCCAGAGACAATGGCCGGAAGGAGAGAGTTCAACAGAGAATCAAGTGAAGCTGTGGCTGCTACACACTCCAGCCAGTTGCCAGTTGGACCATTAAAAAGCCAAGTTTATGTTAGGTTGAACCAATTCAAGTATTTACCAGCTTGCAAATTCATTAGCTAAAGGTAAACTGTGAGAAAGCACTGAACACAAGCCCTGCCACCAAAAAAAATTCTGCAGTAGTTTTTAAGATCCCAAAATGATCTCTACATACAGACTGTGTGTGTGTGTGTGTGTGTGTGTGTTTTCACAAACCCGGGTTGGACTCTCAGGCCTCTCACATGCTAGGTAAACACTCTACCACTAAACTACACCCCCAGCTCTAGACTAGCAACTTATTTGGATTTCTTGACTAAGAAACATGCGTGGAAACAGGGTGGGGAGCAATATGGGCAGAAATGTTTTGTTTTTTTTTTTTAATTGTAGTTAGACACAATACCTTTATTTATTTATTTTTTATGTGGTGCTGAGCATCGAACCCAGTGCCTCACATGTGCTAGGCGAGCGCTCTTGTAGATGGACACAACACAATGTCTTTATTTTATTTTTTATGTGGTGCTGAGAATTGAACCTGGGTTCTACCCATGCTAGGTGAGCACTCTACCTCTGAGCCACAATCCCAGCCCAAAGATATGCTTCTTTGATGTCCAAAATTCTCTAAGTTGCCAAACATAATGGACATGTGATTCCCCCTGCTTCTTCTCCCACCAGGCTACCTACTACCTAATAAACTATTCCCGAGATCCCCAGTGAGTCCCAGTTGTCAAATCTAATTCAGGCCTCATTTTGCTAGATTTCTCAACTGCATATGACACAGTGACCCCCTCCCTCCTTAGAAGTTTCTAATAGAGCCCCTCTCTCCTAGTTTCACCCCAGCCTCTCCAGCTGCTCTTCTCAGACTTCATTGCAGATACCTCTGCCTGACCCTTTCCTCTGGTGCTCTTGGATCCCTCCACTAGACACTCCATTCTACCTGGGCAGCCTTGTCCACACTCATGGCATCTATACTACTACTTCCAATGCATCAGCAACTATGAAACCTTTATGTCCAACTTCATTTTTTCCTTGTGGACACAAGAATCCCCCCCCAACATAGTAGGGATTAAATCCAGTGGGATTCTACCACTAAGCTACATCCCCAGTCCTTTTATTTTTTTATTTTCAGACAAGGGTCTCACTAAGTTACCCAGGCTGGCTTTGAACTTGGCCATCCTCCTGACTCAGCCTCCCTATTAGCTGGGATGCCAGGCATATACTCCTACACCTGGCAAGAACCAAACATTTCTGATAGGCACTTCTAACTTGACACACCCTGTCAACCACCCTGTCCTTCCAGATGATGGAGGTGCCTAGGACTCTGATTTATGCTAAGATTTTTTTTTTAAGTTACTGGGGCTTGAACCCAGGTCTTTGCACATGCTAGACAAGCATTCTAGCACTGAGCTGTGTCCAGCCCTCTCATGCTAAGATCTTAAGAGCCAAAGTTAGAAGTGAGAGAAGTTGAGACAGACTCCCAGGCAACGAAGCCTTGGGAACCAATAAGTGGTCTAAAGAGCTAATCTATGGAACCAGTCAGAGAGCAATAGTCAAACCTCAAAAGGTTGTGGAGGATCATGTCATCAGGCAGAGAAATTCTGTGTGTCAAAGGTGCGTGAGATAGGGAACCTTGTATGGAAAATCATTCGCCCTGATCATAGATGGTGAGCAAACAAACAGATATTGATCTGCTGTCACCCTCTCCCATCTCCTTCCAAAAGTGAAATAGATTTCACATGATGGAAAACTTGAACCCCACCCCCGCTCAAGTACACTCTAAAAGTAAGAAGTGGTTTTCCATGTCTGTTTCCCTGGGCTGAACCTGTCAGCAGACTGGGGACCTTATCTAGCCATGGCATCCTTGGAAGTCCAACAGAGCTTAAGTTACAGCTTGGTTCTCCACCCCAGGTTGTCTCTTCTGGTCACAAGGATGCAGGATTAAAACAGCATCTAAGGGCAGTAGTTGTAGCTCAGTGGTAAAGCACTTGCCTCACATGTATGAGGCCCTGGGTTCGAACCTCAGTATCACATAAAAATATATAAATAAAAATAAAGATATTGTGCCCTTCTACAACTACAACAAAAAAATTAAAAAAAAAAAAAACCAGCATCTAGGTTTTGGGTTGTGGTTCAGCGGTAGAGCACTTGTCTAGCACGTGCGAGGCCCTGGGTTCGATCCTCAGCACCACATAAAAATAAATAGACAAAATAAAAGTATTGTGTACAACTTAAAAAAAAAAACAGCATCTAAGCAGGTCAGAGGACAGAGGACAGTTGAAGATGAGTTGGGTTCACAGTGAGGGAAACAGAAGAGTCAGGC